GGCGCATCGCTTCCGCGCGCGCCGCCCGCCTGTGTCCCCCGCCCCCAGCGTGAGCTCCTTTTTGTCTGACTTCAGTCCCTCCGGTCTCCTCCGCCACCGCCCTCCGGCCACTACCTGGTCAGGTGTGGGGTGGCCTGGCCCGGGGCAGGTTGGGGTGGCCTGCGCTGGCAGTGAAGGGGGGCTAGTGCCTGCTGGCCTACACTGGTCCCGGGACCCAGCCTGGTTGGCGAGGGGACCGTGAAGCGTCGGGTTATTCCAATGGGCTAGCGTGTAGCCCCACCTTGGCGAAGGGGAGGCTAGCGGCTCCCTGGGTCCTCCACCCCATGACTCCTTCTTGCTCACAGGGTGACTCAGACCCCTGGGGGCCGGGTGGAGGAGTGGGCTTGCCCGCGCTGCCCGTCTAGCCCAGCCCTGGAATGCTGCTGGCTTCGGACCTTAGGTGCTTCCCGGCAGGAGGCCCCCCCCCCCCCCCAGCAAAGCATGTGCTCTTTGTTTCCCCCTTACCAGGCCTGGGTCCTTCTCACTGACCCCTCACCCTTCACTTCCTCCTGCTCCTGGGAAGCTGTGACAGGTGTTTGGGGGAGGGGAAAGGGCTGTGATAAGCTGGGACAGCTGGCCCCACCTGCTCTGGTTAAAATGGGGGGTCCTGAAGTTAGGGAGACACATCTGCAGTGTTCCCAGCCCTAGCTGTCTGGCACCTAGGGTGCCCAACTGGCAGAGACAGGAAGTACACCACCCCCCCACCCCGCCCCCCATCGGGCAGTTTTCCTTGGCAAGGGCCTGATCTGTTTTCTTCCTCAGAGCAGCTGCTGCTGTCTGCTGGGCAGAGAGGGCTGGCTCTTCCCAAAGTAGGGCAGGGCCTCAGCCAGCAAGCCCCCCTCTTACCCTCTCCCCCAACTCAGGCCTTTGTCTCTCCCCCTCCCCCCACCCCACCCCAGGAAGAGGAGATCCCCGAGCTGGAGATTGATGTGGATGAACTCCTGGACATGGAGAGTGATGACACCCGGGCTGCCAGGGTCAAGGTGAGAGAGGGGTGGCAGGGTCAGGTTGGGGGAGCTGGAGTGGAGGGCTGCAGGGAGGCAGTGCCAATTGGGTAAGCGAGATTCTGGGGCCAGGCCTTTTGTCTGATGCAGCCAGCTCTGTGGCACTGAGCCTCAGCTTCTGCCTCCAGCAGATGGGGCCCATGCTACTTGCCTAGCGATGGCATCCTGACCTTCGGGGTGTCCCCAGCCCCTTGGAAGTGGGCAGGGTCACCTCCAGGCCCCTGTTCCTGAGAACTCAGCTATACTTTTCCCCTATGTCCCACTAGGAGCTGCTGGTTGACTGTTACAAACCCACTGAGGTAAGTGGTTTCCCCAGAGGGTGGGGGAGAAGAGCCTGGGCTCCTGTCATCTTGGGATCTCGTCTTCCTAACGTCCTCCCTCTTGTCCAGGCCTTCATCTCTGGCCTGCTGGACAAGATCCGGGGCATGCAGAAGCTGAGCACACCCCAGAAGAAGTAAGGGTCCTCAACCCAGGTGAACGGTGGCTCCCACAGGACAATCGCTGCCCCCTGACCTCGTAGCAACAGCAATACCAAGGGGCCCTGCGGCCAGGCCTGGTGCCATGAGCAGGGCTCCCTGTGCCCCTCACTTAGGGGCCTCTTCCCTGCCCCTTGTTTTCCATTTTGGGGTTTTTTTATTATTATTAAACTGATGGGACTTTTTGTGTTTTTATATTGATTCTGCGACGCGGGCCCTTTAATAAAGCTAGGATATGCCTTTGGTGCAGCTAACAGGCTTGGTTGGTCTCTTTTAGGGGGACACACTGCTCTGTAATGGTTACCAGCTCAGCTTCTCCCCAAGTGACTGTAGGCCTTCCTGAAGGCCACGTAGTCATGGTGATAGCCCAGTGTTGGCTCCCAGACCTGGAGCTAAAAGTGGCTGGGGAGCTGGGGGGGTGGGGTGGTGGTTGGTCTCTTTTAGGGGGACACACTGCTCTGTAATGGTTACCAGCTCAGCTTCTCCCCAAGTGACTGTAGGCCTTCCTGAAGGCCACGTAGTCATGGTGATAGCCCAGTGTTGGCTCCCAGACCTGGAGCTAAAAGTGGCTGGGGAGCTGGGGGGGGGGGGGGGGGCCACTGTTGCTGTTGGCAGCAAGAATTCTTTTTTTACTTTGGGCAAGGGCCACCATGCCACCCAAGGCCTGGCTATCTTGACCCCCAGGCTATTGAGCCTAGATCCCAAGGTTCTGAAGCCACAAAAGGAGACGGGTACAGGATGCCGAGGAAGAGGAGAGGCTGGGACTGTGGTTTCTAAGTCTCTCGGGGCCCACAAACAAACACAGGCTCATTTCATGAGCTTTAAGATTTTTTTTTTTTTCTTAAACAGTCTGGTCCCTGATGGGGGTCTCTCCACCGGCCCTCCCCAGCTTGGCTACAGTTCTGAACGTCGCTCGATTTTGAGCAGCTCCACCTCGAACACTAGGGTTGCACCACCTGCAGCAGAGAAGTGAGGTAGAATGAGAACCAGGGCCACAGGAGACGGGACAGGTGCCAGACAGGAGGCAGGAAGGTCTATTACCTGGGATCTTTGGAGGAGCTCCCCGCTCTCCATACCCTGTCAGAGATGCACACAAAAAACACAAAGTGAGCTGTGGTCAGATAGAGAGGTTCTGCACACATCCAGGCTGAAACCAGGCTTCTGCCCAGTAACAGCCAGCAATGGTGGGGTAATGGGTGAGAGGGGGCTGCAAAGGCCAGATAAAGGGCACAAGGTGGACATCAGAGCTGTGCCTCAAGGGTCTTGCCCTGGAATTGCTGGACACAGCTAAACTTGGAAGAGGCATAAACTGTAAGGAATGGTTGGGGGAGACCAATACAGAGGTTGAACCAAGCCTTCACCCTTCCCCAAACATACCCGAACCCTATACCCACTCAGGAAGGACCTCTTACCCAGCTCTGATGGGATCACCAGCTTCCGCTTTTCCCCCTCACACATCCTGCAGGACAACATAGTCAGCATGTGGCAGCACTCAGGCTCCCTGCCTCCTCTCCCCCCCCATTCCTGGGGCTTGCCTCCCACAGTTCACCTGGACCACAGCCATGGCCCCTGACTCACCCCAGCAGCCCCTGGTCCCAGCCCTTGATGACCTGGCCCGTGCCCAGGGAGAAGACAAAGGGCTGGTTCTGGGGCAGGCTGCTGTCAAACTCCGTCCCATCTTCCAGCTTCCCCTGTGGGACCATGAGAAGGCCAATGAGGAGGCGGTTCCACTCTGATAGCACCCCACCCCCATCTACTCTCATCAAGCTGTCCCCGCACAGAATTGGTGGCCATAGTCCTAGAAGGGGACAGAGCCTTGGGCAGCTTACAGTACACTGTAACTCTTTGTTGGTGCCAACCTGGGAAGTAGACAGTGAAGAGCAGGATAGAACCGTGGAAACTGGCAGAGGGGAGAAGGGACTTGCCCAAGGTCACCCACCTTGGCTCCCAAGTCCTTTTTGGTCCCTGAATCCCCACCCACACCCAGAAGCTCCGCCTCCTCACCCACCGTGTAGTGCATGTGCAGGACATCCCCCTTGCGCGATTTGATGGGACAGTGGTCTACCCGCTTCTTGACCCCGATCTGCAGTTTCCGTTTGCCCTCGGCCCCCGCAGCCGTGGCCAGGGCACTCAGGCAGATGGACAGTACTGTCAGGACCCAGCTGAGTCTCATGTCTCTGCGGGAACAGATCCCGACCGACCAATCGACCGGGAGGGCAGGAAGGGTATGGAATACCTGCAGGTAGTAGGATTCCACACCACCGTACCTTGCCTGCCCCTGGGGATCCCCTCGTCCCGGGTCACCACCCTCTCCCCCGGGCTCCGCGGTCACACTTACCAGTCCAGGGAGAAGGGGGCTTGCCCGAGGACCCCAGCAGCGGGGGGAGGGGGTAAGGGGAGGCCACAGCAGCCAGGGCCCCGCCCCTTTGTTCACCCTCAGCCCTTCCTTCCCTCCTGGCCCCCAACTCCGTTCTTCAATTCCCACCCGTCCCTTTACGCAAAGTCCAGACCCTATCTGGCTGCACAGCAGTTGCCCTGACCGGGCGACACCACTCACGCCAAACCCAGTCGCCCCCTGCCCAGCACACCCACACCTCGGCCGCCGCTGCAGGGGATCGGCC